GAATGCCCTTGTCTGTCATGTTAAAGACAATCAATGTGTGTGATATAAGGTGTCATATTTAGGCTTAGTATTTTGTGTGTGTATATTTGTACATCTGACTTTGAACTCTTTAGTACCCAGCAGTTTGTTTTAAAGATTGTTTATAATGCAGAACTCTTCATTTCAGTTATCCTAAGTAATCTAAAAAATAACCCTTTATATCTTGATTTCATACAATTCTTTAATGAATAGATGTACAAAAGTAGTTTTGGACAGTTACAACGAACTGCAGGGTTGTACAGATTGTGTACATGATTTAATGGGAAATATCCAAAAATATTACTACCAGAATTGTGTTATTCATGTTAGCAGATGACATATTTTGCCTGCATGTATTTTTTTCTGTTTAACACTAAACAGGAAGTTGTTTACAATAGAAAATTGCAAATTTCCGCCATAAGTTTCCTTTTTGCTTTAGCTGTAACAAGGGGTGTGGGAAAATACAAGTAAGTAAAAAAGGAAGAAGGTATATTATCGTGCTAGATCGCCTTCATATAGCCAAGAATGGTGACAACAAGTACATAAGTACATTAATGCTGATTTTACATCATATCTCAAACATTTAACGCGACCTATTATAGATCTTAGTCTAGTCTATACTATACTAGACCTATAGACTAGACTATAAGACTAGACCATAGACTAACTATCGACTAGACTATAGACCAGACTTAGACTAGACTAGAGACTAGAACCATGACTAGACTATAGACTAACTATAGCTAGACTATAGACAGACTATAGACTAAGACTATATGACTAGACTATAGGACTATAGACTAGACTATAGACTAGACTATAGACTAGACTATAGACTAGACTATAGACTAGACTATAGACTAGACTATAGACTAGACTATAGACTAGACTATAGACTAGACTATAGACTAGACTATAGACTAGACTATAGACTAGACTATAGACCTAGACTAATAGACTAGACTAGATAGACTAGACTATAGACTAGACTATAGACTAGACTATAGACTAGACTATAGACTAGACTATAGATAGACTATAGACTAGACTATAGACTAGACCATAGACTAGACTATAGACTAGACTATAGACTAGCTATAGACTAGACTATAGACTAGACTATAGACTAGACTATAGACTAGAATAGACTATAGACTAGACTATAGACTAGAACTATAGACTAGACTATATACTAGACTATAGACTAGACTATAGACTAGACTATAGACTAGACTATAGACTAGACTATAGACTAGACTATAGACTAGACTATAGACTAGACTATAGACTAGACTATAGACTAGACTATAGACTAGACTATAGACTAGACTATAGACTAGACTATAGACTAGACTATAGACTAGACTATAGACTAGACTATAGACTAGACTATAGACTAGACTATAGACTAGACTATAGACTAGACTATAGACTAGACTATAGACTAGACTATAGACTAGACTATAGACTAGACTATAGACTAGACTATAGACTAGACTATAGACTAGACTATAGACTAGACTATAGACTAGACTATAGACTAGACTATAGACTAGACTATAGACTAGACTATAGACTAGACTATAGACTAGACTATAGACTAGACTATAGACTAGACTATAGACTAGACTATAGACTAGACTATAGACTAGACTATAGACTAGACTATAGACTAGACTATAGACTAGACTATAGACTAGACTATAGACTAGACTATAGACTAGACTATAGACTAGACTATAGACTAGACTATAGACTAGACTATAGACTAGACTATAGACTAGACTATAGACTAGACTAGACTATAGACTAGACTATAGACTAGACTATAGACTAGACTATAGACTAGACTATAGACTAGACTATAGACTAGACTATAGACTAGACTATAGACTAGACTATAGACTAGACTATAGACTAGACTATAGACTAGACTATAGACTAGACTATAGACTAGACTATAGACTAGACTATAGACTAGACTATAGACTAGACTATAGACTAGACTATAGACTAGACTATAGACTAGACTATAGACTAGACTATAGACTAGACTATAGACTAGACTATAGACTAGACTATAGACTAGACTATAGACTAGACTATAGACTAGACTATAGACTAGACTATAGACTAGACTATAGACTAGACTATAGACTAGACTATAGACTAGACTATAGACTAGACTATAGACTAGACTATAGACTAGACTATAGACTAGACTATAGACTAGACTATAGACTAGACTATAGACTAGACTATAGACTAGACTATAGACTAGACTAGACTAGACTATACTATAGACTAGACTATAGACTAGACTATAGACTAGACTATAGACTAGACTAGACTATAGACTAGACTATAGACTAGACTATAGACTAGACTATAGACTAGACTATAGACTAGACCATAGACTAGACTATAGACTAGACTATAGACTAGACTATAGACTAGATTATAGACTAGACTATAGACTAGACTATAGACTAGTCTATTCCCTAGTGCATTTTCATCGAAAGGAAACCAAATTATATTCAACCTCTAATAATTGTCTAGAGGAGCTTCAACAAAACCAACGTTAGATGCATTCAAAGCAGATCTCGTTCCTTTTAGCTCTTCTGCCTGTTCATTTTCATAGCAGTCTCTACGTTCAGAGACACATTATAAGGATAATGCATTTTTCTGATGATATATTTAAAAGACACATTCCCAACTGCTTTTAAAAGAGGTTTTCCAAAATATATTATCTCTCTAAATAGATTTCTAGACAGACACCTTTGTCTGAGACAAAATGAGAAAAAATGAAGAGATTTTAAAAATTCTATCTCTTGATAAAACTTTTAGGAAGTCATCATATTAAATACCTAGAAGACTATAATATAATTTATTGTTTTTAAACATTCTAATAAATAACAGGAAATTGTAGTGTAAATGTTTACTTAATAATTAACATTTATTTACCAGACTAATTATTCAAATTTAATATAATAAAAACAAAATATTAAGTACCTTTCCCTTAAATACCTCAAAAAGGTCAACAGTTGAATTACTTAGGCCTGGTTGCGACCTTAAGTAAATGGATTTACCATTTAAATTGTTTACTTGTTGTTAATGGTTGAAGAACATAAAATTTATTAAATGTTTATTTTTTTTTCTAAGCCCAACCCATAAAAGTACGTAAAAGTAAAACATATAAATGGTTGGCCTAGCCGAAACACATTTTTCACACCTTTAAGATGATTAAAACTAAAACAGTTGATTACAATTGTAACAGTTTTTTTTTGTAAATGTTAAACATTAATTGACAAAAAAACATCACAATCAAAATACAATAACTTTAATTAACAAGAAAAAATGTCAACTTTTATACAATAAAAAGTACTTTTTAAGGTACTTGAAGTTATACTTATAATTGGTTCCAACTAAGTTAATGGATGTCGGTATATTGTGTTAACTATGTTGGCTATTGTTATTAAATTGTATTTAAATGTAGGTCAATATTTATGTTTAAAGTAGGTTTATTTAATTTTATATTTATTCCATTGTTGTAGTTTAATTTTTCTGTTTTGTATGTGTAAATATAAATAAACGGGCCCATTTTGCGTACATTTTTAATGTGACATTAAATTTTATGAAAATTTTCAAATAAAAAACCATGAAAATAAAATAAACATTAACGTAATACTAATAACAAATAGCCAAGGGATATTATTAGTGTGCGAAAATGTTGGGGGACTTTTAAGTACCCTATAGTAGGTAAACATTATTTTGCGAAGCTTTTTTATAGAAAGTCTGGACTATCGATTCTTTATATTGTGGACTATAGATTCTTTATAGTCTGGACTGTAGGTTCTCCATAGTCTGGACTATTGATTCTCAATAGTCTGGACAATAGATTCTCCATAATCTGGACTATAGATTCTCTATAGTCTGGAGTATAGATTCTCCATAATCTGGACTATTGATTCTCAATAGTCAGGACTATAGATTTGCCATAGTCTGGACTATATAGTCTTAAGATTCTCCTTAGTTTGGACTATAGATTCTCTATAGTCTGGACTATAGATTTTCTATAGTCTGGACTATAGATTTTCTATAGTCTGGACTAGAAATTCTCTATGGTCTGAACTACAAATTCTCTATAGTCTCGACTATAGATTCTCTATGGTCTGAACTATAGATTCTCTATAGTCTCGACTATAGATTCTCTATGGTCTGAACTATAGATTCTATATAGTCTGGACTATATATTCTCTATAGTCTGGACTATAGCTTCTTTATAGTCTGTGTAGTACGAACTATGGACTCTATGTAGGCCAGACCATATATTCTCTATAGTCTGGACCATAGATTCTCTGGACTATATATTCTATAAACTCTGAACTATAGATACTCAAAAGTCTGGACAATATATTCTCCATAAACTATAAATAATCTAAATAGACTCTCTATAGTCTGGATTATATATTCTCTATAGTCTGGCAGAGATTCTCAATAGTTTGGACTGTAGATCCTCTATAGTCTTGTGTATAGATTCTATATAGACTGGATTATAGATTCTCTATAGTCTGGATTATAGACTCTCTATAGTTTGGATTATAGATTATCTATAGTCTGGACTATAGATTATCTATAGTATATCATGTAGAGTAATAACTAAGTCCATCTAAAATCTAAAACAAATTTTTAAACACTCATAAAACTTGTTGCCAAAAAACACAAAATAACAAAAGAAATAAAAAAATAAAAAAATAAATAAAAAAACGTGTCATTACAATTATGATGTTTTTTTGCTGCAAAAATGATGAGGTAATTTTATTTAAACACCTAAAAAGTAAATTTAAGAAATACAACATATGATGTAACCTAACCAAACTAAATCTTACCACACCAAACTTTACTTTAACTTTCTCCCATAAACCTAGCAATTGAAAAATATAAACAATGGCCCTAAAACAACACACACACACACAACTTACCAATCATTAATAAAGCGGCTGTAAAGTGGGAACTAGGAGGTCCTGCCAAACCTGTAGCCCCCAAAGCAGCACCACCCAAAGCACAAGCAACACCACCCAAAGCAACAACCGCTATTAAGGCACGTAGAGGAGGACCAGCAAACCATTGACCACAACAACCTTTGCCAGAACGTTCAGAAGGCGATCTGTAAGAAGAGAAAGAAAGAATGACACAAACAATAAAGTCAACAATTTATTATTAATTTGTTAAAAGTGTTCGGTAAATAAAAGACAAAACAAAAGGAGGCCCAGGACCTAAAAGAATTAACAGGAAATTTATATTTCGAAAAAAAAAAATATAAAATACAGAATTATGATTTATAGTCGAAATAAAATTTGTAAACAATTGTTGGGATGTGTTCGTATTGCAAAACGTACAATAAACACCTGTGTCTCATCTATTGTTTATTTTATATGGCAAATGCTTTGCTACTACCTTGATTAACCCTCTGATGGACGTAAGGGGTATGAAAAGACATTTGAACAACAATTTTAGACTATCTATAGTCTGAATTACAGATTCTTCTTAGCTTTGACTATAGATACTCTACTACAGGCTTTAAATTCTTTAGAATCTGCTCTACTGATTCCTTATAGTTTAAACTATAGATTCCATAAGGTCTGAACTATGGTTTATTCATAATTTTGATTATAAATTCTTTATAGTCCAGACAGTTGATTCTCTATACTACGGACAAATGAACTATAGATCCCTTAGAGTCTGGATTATAGATTCTCTACAGATTGAACTATAGACTCTATATAGGCTGGACTATGACACTTTATTATCTGAACTATAGTTCCTCTAAAGTCTACCCAATATATTGTCTATGGTCTGGACTGTAGATTGTCTATTGTCTGGACTATAGATGGTCTATAGTCTGGAATAGATTGTCTTTAGTCTGGATAATATATTGTTTTTAGTCTAGACTATAGATTGTCCATAGTCTGGACTATAGATTGTCTATAGTCTGGGCTAAAGAATGTCTATAGTCTGGTCTATAGATTGTCTATAGTCTGGACTATAGATTGTCTGTAGTTTGGAGTATATATTGTCAACAGTCTAAACTATAGATTGTCTACAGTATAGGCATTAGACTGCCTATAGTCTGGACTATAGATTGTCTATAGTCTGTACTATAGATTGTCTATAGTCTGGACTATAGTTTGTTTATAGTCTGGACTATAGATTGTCTACAGTCTAGACTATAGATTGCCTATAGTCTGAACTATAGATTGTCTATAGTCTAGACTATAGATTGTTTATAGTCTGGATAATAGAGTGTCTATATTCCGCACTATAGAGTGTCTATAGTCTGAACTAAAGGCTGTCTATAGTCTGGACTATAGATTGTCTATGGTATGGACTTTAGATTGTCTATAGTCTTGACTATAGATTGTCTGTAGTTTGGAGTATATATTGTCAACAGTCTAGACTATAGATTGTCTACAGTCTAGGCAATAGATTGCCTATAGTCTGGACTATATATTGTCTATAGTCTGTACTACAAATTGTCTATAGTCTGGACTATAGATTGTTTATAGTCTGGACTATAGATTGTCTATAGTCTGGACTATAGAGTGTCTATAGTCTGGACTATATAGTGTCTATATTCTGGACTATATAGTGTATATAGTCTGGACAATAGAGTGTCTATAGTATGGACTATAAAGTGTCTATAGTCTGAACTACAGATTGGCTATAGTCTGCACTATAGGGTGTCTATAGTCTGGACTATAGATTGTCTATAGTATGGACTTTAGATTGTCTATAGTCTGGACTATAGATTGTCTATAGTCTGTAATATAGATTGTCCATAGTCTGGACTATAGATTGTCCATAGTCTGGACTATGGATTCTCTATAGTCTGGAGTATATATTGTCTACAGTCTAGACTATAGATTGCCTATAGTCGGAACTATAGATTGTCTATTGACTAAAGAGTGTCTATATTCTGTCTATAGTCTGAACTATAGATTGGCTATAGTCTGCACTATAGATTGTCTATAGTCTGGGCTATACAGTGTCTATATTCTGAACTATAGAGTGTCTATAGCCTGGACTATAGAGTATCTATAGTCTGAAATACAGAGTGTATATAGTCTGGATTATAGAGTCTTTATAGTCTGGACTATAGATTGTCTATTGTCTGGACTATATATTGCCTATAGCTTGTCTATAGTCTAGACTAAAATTTGTCTATACTCTGGATTGGACTATAGATTGTCTTTAGTCTGGACTATAGATTGTCTATATTCTGGTCTATAGATTGTCTATAGTCTGAATTATAGATTGTCTATAGTCTGGACTATAGATTGTCTATAGATTATGTATTGTCCGAACTGTAGATTGTCTTTAGTCTGTACTATATATTGTCCATATTCTGGACTATACATTGGTTATAGGCAGGATTATATGTAGTCTATATTCAGGACTCTGTAACACTCTGTACTATAGATTCTATGTGGTCAAGGCTATAGATTGTCTATGGTCGGGACTATAGATACTGCATGGTCTGAACCGTACTTTATCTATGTACTAAAAGTTATCTGAATCTTTATTTTCTTACTAAAGACTCTTTATTATTAGAACTATAGATTCCCTATTTCTTAGTTCGCTGAATAAAAAAAAAACTTTACAACCTCTCACGGGTTAAAAACAAACACATAAACAAAATTATTATGCATCACGCTCAGTCTGTTGTGTGTGCGTCTGTGTGTGTGTGTGTGTATGTAGTTATTTATGCAAGGTGTGAATTCATTCAGAAATAGCCAACAACAACAGCAAACAAACAGCAGTAGCAACAATTGTAAACAATAAACTAAACTATAGAATATTTTTTTTTTAGATTTCTGCACCGTTAGTTTTCCTGTCAAGGATAAAATACATTGAAAACACCAACTCTAATTCATACTCTCACCCACTCCTGGCGTTAAGTATGTATAGTATTGTAGGTACAAGGATGTTTCTTTACTATTTAGACAGTCTAGAATTTCTTCATTTTGTAGTTGTTGCCGTCGCAACAACTTTATTTTTGTCGTAGTCAAAAATATGTTTGTATGTATGTATGTACCTGTAAAAAACTAAACATCTGTGACAATGATTTTAATGTTTTTATGCTCGTTATTTTTGTTTTCTGTTTGTCTAGTTTTTGCTCGAAAGTCTGGCAAAAAGATGTTTTTTTTTTCTTGTCTATTGTAAAGTTTGTTTTTTTGTCGTCTGTATTAAGAGACAAAAACAAAATTAAAGAACAAACGAACACCTTGCAGATGAAGTATAAGGAAAAAAACACCTACAGACAGTTTGAAGTAGGGCGATGGAGAAAAATAGTAAACTTTTCAAATAAACATTAAAGCCTTAGATGGAACTTTTCTATTATTCTGCTTTCGCCAGAAATTTCGTTTAAAATAATATTTACTTTTTTTTGAGTTTGGCATCAGCTATTCATAAATTATCTAAAGATGTAGATGGGTGACAACTAAGGCACGAGGAAAGGAACAAAAATGTCTTAAGTATTGTAAAAATTCTGTAAAGTTTTGAGAAATATTCAGATATGATTGTGATAAAATCCGAGTTCATCAAGATTTATCATATTTATACCCTACACCACTTTAGTGTGGAGGGTATATTGGATTTGTGCTAGACCCTCTTTAAAGTATACCAATCGGCTTAGAATCGTGTGTCGGTTAAGCTATGTCCGTCCGTCCGTCCGTCTGGCTGTCCATGTAAACCTTGTGCGCAAGGTACAGGTCGCAATTTTCAAGATAATTGGATGAAATTTGGCACGCACGTTTTATTTGACCCAAGGACGAAGCCTATTGAAAATGGGTAAAATCGGTCCATTATTTCACCTAGCCCCCATAGAACAGAACCCCCCGAAAAGGGCTTCTGAGCTCATAATTATGTTAAATATACAGATATATCGATAAAATACGGCACAACTAAGTTTTATAAAAGTCTTGATGACCCTGCCAAATTTCATAAAGATCGGGCCCCATTTGACCCTAGCTCCCATACAAAGTCCCCTTCAGAAAATTACTTGAATGTCCCAAATTAACTTATAAACACAAATATCGCGATGAAATTCAGCACAATAAAATATTATATAAATATAAATATTTTCACAAAATTTTATCGGGCTTGGTCCATATTTGCCCCTAGCCCCCATATAAAGCCTCTTTCAGAAAATTAGTTTTTCATCCATAAATTGCTTAAATGTATCGGAACAAGGGAATATTGAAGATAAATGCTTTATTATGAAAAATAAATCACATTTAATATTCATAACTGGTGTAGGGTATCATATGGTCGGCCACGCCCGACTATACTTTCTTAATTGTTTGATATTTATTCTTTTAAATAGAAAGTCATATTTTCTTGATCCTTTCAAATCGATTTCCAAATTTTCTCTTATAATCCTTAATGCTTCTACTCTGCTATTTCCTTTCATAACCATCGCCTTCATAAAATAAAACATGGCCACCGGAAATAAATTTTAAATACCAAAAAAATATAACAGCAAAAATATATACTTAAAGTAAAATGTTAAACAGAATAACCAAAAAACTAAATTTTATGATTAATGTAAAAAAGAAACACTTTACGTTTCTGCAATATTTTATACAAAATCATAAATATTCAAATTGTATATTGTTATAAAAGACAACAGCAACAACAACAACATTAACATAATCATAAATGAAAACAATTATATATTGTTCCAAATTCTACCTCTCTGGTTCATGCAAACGGCAATCTTTTTCGAAACTTTATTCTATTAGAAAAGATGGGAAAAACTTTAAAAGCAAAGAAAATTTTCATGAATAAAATTTTACACAGACATAACTTATCCTTGTTTTAGAATTTTCATTTGTCAACCGTGTGGCACGAAGACAACAAACGTCATTGTTTATTTATTTTTTTTTTGTTGGTGTCTTTGATAAATGGTAATTTTTACATAGAGCTCCAAGAGAATAAGGAGCCTTCTTTGGTTTGGCTTTTAGGAGTTTCTTTCTTTTTTTGCCATGGCTCTACATGACTGAATTCTATCATTAATATTCTGTTTTTTTTGGCCAATGTTGACACTTTGGGGAGCAAGTGTCAACATACTAACATAAATATAGAGAAAAATATTATTCTTTTTTT